GAAAGTAATGGACAGTTCATCTCAGCAAAAGAAAAACAGCGGAACATTTGTTAGAATCTCAACACTTTCTAAACACACGAAAACAAAATGACATTCATTTCTCACCGACAAATAACTAAACATCTATAATCAATAATAGCGATGAAATGACTAGAAAATATCATGGCCAAATTAATTGGTAGTATTAGTATTAGTTTGATATTGATTGATGACCACAAAAAGAAAAGATTTGTTGAGTTTTATAGTATTTGTTGCTTTATTACGGTATATAGTAGAGATGAGTTTTTGGTGTCCTTATGGTTTCAATTAAACAATAAGTGGTTAAAGTGAAATTGGACAAAAAGATTTGGTTAGGACATGTAATTCTTTATTTTGTAGTTTGAATCCAGCGAACGGCGTTAGATTTTCCTTGCGACGGTGGCTTTGGATGATCCTCAACGGCACGATCTGATCAATAACACGTTGACGAAATTTTACCACGTGACGTCTTCGACCCGCGTGTGAGGATTTAGTGGTCAACTGTAAAAAACTCGTTCACTGGTTGACTTTTACTACAGACTCAGACTGTCTGGTCGCTATATAAGAATATGTTTTTGAGTATTTTTTACAAGTATTAAAATAAAATTACTTAAAAGTGTTAAATGCAAACATTTATTTGTAAGAGCATGATTATTGGTAGTATCTTAGAAATAAATCTTAGGAATATTTAAGTAATATATTTGTAAAAATGATAGGTAAGAGATAGTATTTTTGGTTAAGATTTTTGTGTGATTAATGGTAGGTTTTTAACATGTGGTTCTTATAAAAAAAAATATTAATATAAAAATAAAATTTATAATTATAGAAAATTTAATAATTGTTGCAAATTAAAAAAATTAAAACATACATGAGATACAATTTATAACATAAATAACATAAAGCACAAAAAAAAAATTCTTCTTTTGTTTGATTTTTTAACCAATCACAATGTGACACCTTGCAACATTTTAAGTTAAGAAAAACATCTTAACTTAGATATAAATCTTAACTTTAAGATGTTGGTTTGATTATTTTTAATCAACTTTAATCCTAAGATTTGTCTAAGATACTCAACATTTCAACCAATATTCATGCTCTAAAGATGAGTTTATCATTTATATTTTCTATAAAGATGGTAAAGATGAAAGAATTTACATTGGGGAAGAGATCAACGGATTTCGAGAGAAGTACAACTACAAAACATTTATTCGTCAAAACATGTATATGTATATATGTGCATCAAGTATGCATCTATTATGTATCCAATAAATGCATGTTAGGAGTAATAAAGAAAGGTCTGACCATTACAGAGAAATTAGTTAATAACAAGTTGAAGGAAATAAATAACTCTAATTGTGGAAATTTTGGATCAAAAGTTGATAAATAGTCAGATATTTCATGTGGAGTTTACGTATTTTAAGGATCTAATCTCATTTTTTTTTTTTTAAATCATTCACTTTCTTCGAAGCAGTAAAACAGTCTGTCATTGTGAAACTTATGAACAATCAACAAAAGATAAAACTTTAAAAAATCAAACAAAATATGTATTTATTGTCTTTCTTCTCTCCATTTTAAAAAAACTCTGTTTCTTCTTTCTTGCTCTGTCCCAAAAACATTGTTTTATTTCTCTCTCTCTCCCAATTTCCCGAGAAAATCTGCTTCTGATCTAAAAAAATCTCAAGAATTTATGTACAGAACACCATTTTTAAAAAACTACTAAATCAAATAACACTAATCTCAGATATAATAACAGATTACCTTCTGTTTCCTTTATCCACAAAAATCTAAATCTTTCTTTCTCTGTAATTTTTCCTGAGAGAATGCAGAGTTCCTCTAAAAGCCAGGCCTTTTTTCTTACTGTTCTTCTCCTTCTTCTTCTTCTTCTTCTTCTGCCACTACTCTCAGAATCACAGCTTATATCAAGTGAATCAAGAACTCTACTAGAAATCCAAAAGCATTTACAATATCCACCAATTCTTCGATCATGGAGCAACCGGACCAATTTCTGCTACCTCCCTTCTTCTCCTTCTTTCAAAATCCTCTGTTTCAATGGTCATGTAACCGAATTAACCGTCACTGGGAACAGAACCGTGAAGCTCCCTGGAAGATATTCCAGCGACTCACTCTTCACTGTTCTTACAAAACTCTCAAACTTAAAGACATTGTCTCTGGTCTCTCTCGGCATCTCTGGTCCTCTCCCTACAAAGATCATCAGGTTATCTTCATCTCTCCAGTCTCTGAATCTCAGTTCTAATTTCATATCGGGGAAAATTCCTAAAGAGATCTCGTCGTTGAAGAACTTGAGAAGTCTTGTTCTTGCAAACAATCTGTTCAATGGAAGTGTTCCTGATCTCAGAGGATTGTCGAATCTCCAAGAGCTGAATTTAGGCGGTAATAAACTCGGTCCTGAAGTTCTTCCTTCACTTGCAAGTAACTTGATCACCGTTTCATTGAAGAACAACTCTTTTGGATCCAAGATTCCAGAACAGATCAAGAAGCTGAGTAAGCTTCAAAACTTGGATCTTTCCTCCAACAAGTTCACTGGGTCAATCCCAAGATTCCTGTTTTCGCTTCCTTCGCTTCAGAATCTAAGTTTGGCACAAAACTTGCTGAGTGGATCACTTCCAAATTCATCGTTGTGCAGCTCCAAGCTTAGAATTTTAGATGTTTCTCGGAATCTTCTGACTGGGAAGCTTCCATCTTGCTTCTTTTCCAAGAAACAGACAGTGCTCTTCACATTCAATTGCTTGTCTATAAAAGGTTCTCCTTCTGCTAAGTATCAACGTCCAGTTACCTTCTGTGAAAACGAGGCAAAGCAAGCAGTAGCTGCTGTGAAGTCTGACACTAAAGATCAAGAAAGGAAAAAAGAAGATACAGGAATCGAACTCGGATTGGTGATTGGTATTATCATCGGTGTGGTCCTCGTTTCAGCGGTTTTGGCTGGCTTGATTCTGTTTAGGATGAGAAAATCAAAATCAAAGGAAGAGCTTTTTGAAGCAAACAACGTCGATAAGGAGGTTCGCAGCAACACCACCAGGTCCACTACATCAAAGACAGTACCAGATCCAAGTAATAAAGGCTATTACTTTGCAATCTTGAATCAAGTTTTCACACCCATTAACCTAACTAGCTTGAGTATTTCAAATGCAGGACGCGTACCGCAAACCATGAGATCCGCGGTGATTGGACTATCACCCTACCGAGTTTTCTCTTTGGAGGAACTGGAAGAAGCCACAAACAACTTTGATGCAGCGAATCTCTGTGGAGAACAGGTAAATGAAAATGTAAATAAAACATGATTTAAACTTGATCTGAGTCTCTAATTAATCGATATATCTAATTTCAAAACAGTTGTATAAAGGTTGTCTTAGAGAAGGCATAGCAGTGACAGTGAGGTGTATTAAGCTGAAACAGAAGAATTCAACACAGAATTTGGCTCAACAAATGGAAGTTTTATCAAAGCTAAGGCATATGCATTTGGTCAGTGTTCTTGGACACTGCATTGGTACTTATCAAGATCATCATCCATATGCCGGGAGCACCATATTCATAGTCCAAGAATACATCTCTAACGGGTCTTTGAGGGATTACCTCATCGGTAATATCTGAAAAGGATTTTCAATTTGAAGGGTTAAATTTTTCTTTTTTGTTGGGAAACTAATTGTTTGGAAATGTTTTTGGCAGACTGGAGAAAGAAAGAGGTGTTAAAATGGCCTCAGAGAATGTCGATAGCGATTGGAGTTGCTCGAGGAATTCAGTTCTTGCACACAGGAGTGGCACCAGGAATCTTTGGGAATAATTTGGAGATAGAGAATGTTTTACTTGATGAAACACTCACTGTAAAACTCAGTGGTTATACTATTCCTTTACCATCCAAGGTATCTAAACCAGTGTTCTAAAAAGCGGTCTAGGCGGTCGCCTAGGCCCCGACTAGGCGCTAGGCTCTTATGCGACGCCTAGATAACCGCATTGACCGCTTAAAATTACATATAACTTGTTTAATGTATTTTTTCAATTTGAATTAGAGTTTTATTTTTATATATAGTTATAAATATTCATATATTGTTTAATATAAATATAAATAAATGTTTTATTTAGTTTTTGTTTATAATTTCATAATTTTTAGTTTTATATAAATATTTTATATAACTTTTATATATAATATCATATTTATAATATTTTATGTTATAAACGTCTAAACCGCCTAAAAAATCGCCTAGGCCCCGATTAGGCATTCTAGGCGCTAGGCACTGGGTCACCGCCCGCTTAGCGCCTAGCGCTTTCTTCAACACTGATCTAAACAAACAAGATATAACCAAGACATAGCTTCTAATTATTAATTTAACCTCTTATGAATAATATAATCTTCTGGGGGGGATTTCAGATTGGAGCGGAGAGCCCTAGTAATGATGATGGAGAGAAGGAAGATGTGTACCAGTTTGGAGTGATACTACTTCAGATCATCACAGGCAAAGTATTGGCGGCTGCATCTTCAGAGTTGGGGAGCTTGAAGCTTCAGCTGGAGAACAGTTTGAGAGACGAACCATCGGTGTTGCGTAGCTTGGCAGATCCGTGTGTGAGAGGAACATATGCATATGAGTCATTGAGAACCACAGTAGAGTTTGCCATTAACTGTCTTTGTGAAGATCAGAGGAATCGGCCATCGATAGAGGATGTTGTATGGAATCTGCAGTACACAATTCAAGTGCAGCAGGGATGGACAAGCAGTGGGAACCTTGGGATTGGTGGTTCAGAAATGTAAAACAGGAATATAAAATCATCATCCTTGAAGGAAATAGAGAAACTAATGTCAAATTCAAAACCCATATGAATACATTAAGTTGGACCTACTAATACTTGTGGTACTTTCGAGTCTCATGCGAAGCTTCAGAATTTGGTGTAGATCACAAAGAAAGCAATGAAAGGGTAAGGAGAAGGCCACAAATCCTTAAAAATAGAATACCACAACATTTTGGAATTGGTTACAAAGGTTTTTTCGGTACCTAGCAAGAAAATCGTAATACATATATACACAAAAGTGAATAATTCAGTTGGTTTGGTACAAAGTTGTTTTTTAAAGGATGTTGAGTTACATAGAACCAACCATCAAAGCATTGAATCACTTAAATAGTTTCGGAAACACAAGACATGAATGAAAAGAGAAGAAAGCTGTTTTGCTGAATCGTGATTGTGAGAAAGGAGACATAGCTACATCGCTTACATCAAACTACTACTAGTCAGCAGTCCAGCTTTGCTCAACAACATCACGCACTCTTCTGTTGTACTCACGCTTGCTTTCGCTGTACATCCGAGCAGCTTCCGAGTTTGCAGGAGAATTCGGATTAGGGTCACAGAGCAAGGACTGCAATAACAAAGGGCAAAACGGATTAGAGAAGAAGAAAGTAATTTGAGCTTTTAAGGGCATCGACATTTTAAATTTACCTGGATGGAGGTAAGTATAGCAGCAACATCATATATTGGACTCCACTGGTTTTGTAGAATGTCCAAGCAGATACTCCCATCTGCATAAACTACACATAGAATAGAGCAGAAGAAGGTTAATTGGAGAGCCAAAAGCTGAACATGAACCAAGTGAAGAGAAAAAGCCAATGTTGTATCTCTATAACTTACTATTTGGATGAAACATCCGTGACACAAACCGAACTGTTGGTGGTTTATTAGGATAATCTTCAGAGAACTGCAGTGAGAGTTTGAAAGTACCTGACAGTATCAAGAAAGAGACATAAGAACACCACTACAACGATCCCAAAAATTTAAAGATACATGCTTCTTTCCATATTGCAGTAACATAACATAACCTTACCTCCATCCCATGGAGTGTCATCAGGCCTGCCAATTTATAAACAAAAAGGTCTAAGTAAGTACAGAAATGACAATGAATCAGAAATATTTAGTCAATATCTAAGGTCCTTTGTTCCATTACCCAAATATGACAGCATTCCAGAGCATAATATTGTTGTCCTGTGGAGCACCACTAATACCCGCAGGTGGGTCTTGCTGCAACCTCTTGAAATCCCTCATCAACCTCTTCCTTGCTGGCGTCGACATCCTCCTTTCTTTCTATTAAACAAAACCCAAAATTTTCATCATTTTGAGGTCTCAAAACCTCTGTAAAATTGCTAACTTGGTACTATATTCGAATCTTCCCAAGAAGACTACGACCTATAACAGCTAACTAGCGGTTAAAAGCAAACATCAAAAGAAACTTCTTTCCAAAACTAAGACTCAAACCTAGAAACAGCTCAAGATCGCATCAATTCACCAGAAAATTGATAAGAAACAGCTCAATTGAAAGTAAAATCAACGGATCCAGCAAACAACCATCGAAGAAAAAAGAAGATCAGATGAAAAAAGGTACCGTGGAAACAGATCTCGTTGTTGAGGTAAAAAGATCACGGCGAGAAGAGGTCGTCAAACAAACATCTGTGCTCGCGGCGTTGACCGCCGGTGATTAGAGAAGAACCCGATCGATTCAGGTCGGCGATTCTCGATTTATTTCACCGTGCGATGAGAGAAATGGGAAAAAAAAATTCAATGATTTGGGAAGAACGTATAAGTGATGAATGATGATGTTCTAGAAACTTGGCTCTTCTGACAATTCTGTAAAGTTGGATTTGCTTTGCCCTTTGGACGAGCGAGCGAGTGGGTTGCTCCCAACCGGAATTAAACCGTTTAGGGCGAACTGTACCCATTAACCGGACTTAATTTGGGCTTAGACCGGGAGATTAGAGTTAGATGAGAGAGAGAGCCTGAGTAGATCATTGTACCACTAATAAACCATTGTCCCCATTAACCGGACTTAATTTGGACTTAGAACGGGATATTAGAGTTAGATGAGAGATAGCATGAGAGGCACTAATAAACCATTGTACCACTTATAAACCACAGCACCACTAACCGGACAAAATTTTTGACCCAAACCACATGAGTAGAGTGATGTTGTTAATAAAGAGAAAGGCTTTTGTGTGGTCTGTCTTGTTAGCCCAATCTCTCTAGACAAACCAATTCACCTTCAAGCCTCATCTCAAAGCCTACGCATTTGGTTCATACTAGCTGGTACTCACAATTTCAAATTGGGATTTACTCTTCAATCAAAAACAAATAAGATCAGACAAAGCAATAGACTGATGTTTTGAGATACAACCGCTTAACACAAAATAATCTGGCTTTCCACTTCCACATTTGGTCAAAAGGAAGAAAAAGTAACACTACTTTTAGTCTCTTCTGCTACCTACGAACGTATATCAATATTCAAGAAACCTATCAGCAAAACAAAAAGGGTAGGACTAGGATGATCTCTGATATATGTTCCTATTATGGCCCTAAGATTCATCATCTATTCCATTCATAGTCTCCTCCATAGTTAGGAGGAGCGTTGTTCGCACGGTTTGTGTCTTCTGGTTTAATGGAGTTTGCAAATGCATGCCACCCTATAAGGTAAGGCAAGACAAACTTGCGATAAAGGAAAAAAAGGAGTTTAGTAGTGTTTCTTCATAAGTTCATGAAGGTAATGTAAAAATCAGAGATATTATGATCTTACATTGAAGGCAGAGATAAGAACAGCAAACTCTGCTCGAGTAATTGGTATGTAAATGCTCTCATCCACATTCACAAGCTTGTTTTGAACACCTAATATGTAGACAAATATCGAAAACCATTAGAGACTATGTTTAAACCTTTTTAACAAGAATCAAGAAGAAGATTATATTTACTTACTTAGGTTGAAGAAGTGACCAGAACCATCTGGGAGAGGCTCAACTTTCAACACTTTCCTCACTTTTCCCTCATCACTACATACAACAAACAAACCGATCAGGAGCAAGAAAATAACAACACAACCATTATTATAAGAGTAATGATGGTTTTTACCTTTTCCCCTTGAATGGATCATGGAAGAATTCACAAGATTCCCTCGGGCCTAGGCTAACTAGAGTTCCGATTTCCGTAACAGACAACGAGAACACCTGCAGTTTCGACATGAAGCTTAACCAAATTCATAATAGAAAAAAAGACTGCCTTTTAACACCAAATCCAGTGAGATGGTCTTAACAAAGTTTAAAGAATTCAGCTCAATGGATCATCTGAAGTTAAGAGATAAAACCAAACCTGTTTCTTGCTCCAATCATATTGTCGTACACCAGCAGAAGGAGCAAACTGGAGCAATAGGAAACCATCTTTGGACAACTTAAAAGCTCCAGACTGCACAAAAAAAGAGTGAAATCAAATGAGAAACTTAAACCATGATTATACAATTTGATCTTTGTGAGAGAGACATACGTCTAAAGCCACGAACTCTGGTGCTCTTGGCTCCATTGTTAGCGCAGCTTTCCCTTTGTATATCGAATGACCCACGTAAAATCTAGCAGGCAATCCTTCAGCTATCGAATCGAAACAAGGAACACAAGTAAACATCACCTACGAGCTCCATCTCTAGATATAAAAAAGAGTTCTCTTTTTCGATTTCAAGCTTCCAGGTTACAAATTTCTCGTAACTAAGAGTACCCTTTTGGTTTTTAAAGCTTCCAATTTCCAAATTAAGAAAGCTAAAACCCTAAAGTAACCAAGTGAGATGGCTTACCATTTTGAGAAGAAGAAGAAGAAGAGTCACCGAATCTCTGCTTCTCGAAGTAATCCGTCTGGCGGGACTTAACCGAGAAGAGCTTCACCGTCTTCGTCGTCGGTTTCAAGGCGAATCCATGCCGTTTCACTGCAAAACCGCCGGCGACGAGTACTGAAGACGAAGAGAGAAAGCGAGAATTGGAGTTGACCGCAATTGGAGGAGAAGATAAGAGTTGCGACATTGCTTTGGTGTTTGTTCCCTCTCTCTCTCAGTGTAGAGTCTTCTCTTCTCTGCGAATTACGAAGGAGGAGTAAAAAGGTGCTTCCTTCTCTTCTCAGTTCTCAGTGATAACTTTTCGTTAATTCGTTTTCTACAGCTTCAGTTCTTAAAACATTACAAATAGCCCCAAAAGTTACAAATGTCATTATTTTACACGTTTGGATTTTGATTTCGTTTGAACAAAAATTGTGTTCTACAAAATTAAGAGTTACAAAACTTTATCGAATTGTTTCCTTATTAATATGATTATATTTGATGTAAATCCTGTATATCTTTGCTTCTTCCATCAATTATTGTTTGTTAAAGTTTGCAACTCTTCAAGATATGGTTATGGTCCAGACAGCTAAAATACATGAGACAAGACACGATAGAGAGCTAACGAAAGTATTAGGAGGAGATTGTATATTTAGTATATAGATATCTAAGGTATTTTGCTTTTCTCATTTTTCCGTAGAAAAAGGAACCTGGATCCTATTAAGAATAATAAATCCGAAACTGCGCATTATATATGCAGTCTTAGTTACAAAACACCATTCATAGAAAAACATTCTCTTTAGTTTTCTCTCCTCTCTCTCCATATTGTTTTTCTTGAACAACAAGCAAAAACAGGGCAAAAGCTTTGTCTGTTTGTTGGAAGGGGAAAAAATGGTAATGTAATCAGCAAGCTTTACCCTGTTTGCAGCCAAGTGCTCCTGCATCCATGGTAAGTTTCCGGACCATCGTTCCCGGTTTAGGTCGAATTGCAAACTTGTTCGGGAGCGGGTTTTTCGGTTTAGAGCTCCACGCATTTGCTTTCCCGGATTGCACAAAATAAGCTCCGTTGAGGAAGTAATCTCCTTCTGATTGCCAATTCCAAGATTTCCATTCAGTGTATGGTGTGTACTCTCTCTTTGTAATCTGTTTGGCTTGTTCGTTAGGAGGAGCAATGAAACGATTGCCTTGACTAATAATTGTAGGGTTCATGTTTCCACCAATTGCATACATTTCCCAATGTGTGTAGTCATTGTTCACCACATGGATTGTTCCATATCTGCAACGAGGCATTCTCTGTTCCAATCTCTTACCGAAGTGGTTAAACGCAACCGTTATCTGCATTTTCTTGTCTATCACGTGTTCATCCCTCGCCCCAAACAACATCACCTGTTCTCTCATAAAGTTCAAAACAAAGGTTTAAAGATGTATTAAATCGTTTATGTAGCCTGGATTCAAGAAAATTGTACATTTTGCTACTTCACATGAGGCAGAAACAGAGTTTTTTTTTTTTTACCTCTTGGTGGTCGGTGAAATGACTATTGGAAATAGTTACAGCAGTGGAGCCGTCAATAGCATCGATCATACCATCTGCACATCTTGTCATTGAGACATGATCGATCCAAATATTGGTTGCTCCAAACAAGCTGATTCCATCACCATCGCTTTTTGTCCTAAGCCCTATGTGATCCTCAGAGTCTCTGATCAACCCACCGTTCCCAGGAACAATGTGCTTGACATAAATATTGTGTATGATCACATTATTTACATATTGCAACGTTAATCCAGCACCTTCCATGATGTAAACCCTAGCTCCTCTTCCATCGATTGTTTTGTCGCTAGTTATCATCAGTTCTTGTTGCAGTTTTATGATCATGCTTCTTGCGAATATGATCCAAAGCGGTCCGTTTCGAGTCACTGCATGCCTTAGCGTTCCTGGTTTAGGGTTGATAAGATCATCGTCAGACGCGTCCTTGACGACGTATATCGGTCCGTCTTTTCCTCCAGTGGTTCTCCGGCCGAATCCGAGCACACAATCCGCTAGTTTCTTCCGGTTTTTCGCCCAGTTACGATCGCATCGCCAGCATTTGTCTATCGGGTTATAAGCCAGGCATTTTCCGCTGTGTTTTTTTGTTTTACGACCACTTCTCACCTGAGTAAGCTCTCTCCTTGTATCGTTGTTTGATTCCGATACATCCACTGCTCTGTTCAAAAGAACCAGATTGTTTAATTAGAATACTTGTTTAAGAAGTTCGGTTAAAATTTGACCTAACAAAGACAAAAACTCACATATTGACATGGTAATTAAAATGGTTGGTGACGTTAATTGGATTAGGATCGTAAGATCCCATGGTCTGTTTCAATGCATCGCTTTGACGCTGCGTCCAGTAGCTATCAAAGACAGCAACATTGGCTCGAACCTGTGGGGCCACTATAGCTAAGAACGACGAGAAGAAAACAAAAACGTAGCCGCCAAGATTCAAAAACACAGCTGCCATTTCAATTATTTTGCAAATGCGGGGAAAAGCCGATGAACTTTATTTTTCCCGGCAAAACCACAAGCGGAGGTTGTGGTTTCAGATAGGCCTGCCGGGATTAAAAGATTAAAGATTAGATGAATCACCGATTGCTTTAATAACAAGGAACTGGAGAGAGAGAATGGGATGAGAGGAGCCAATGGAGGATTAAGAATTAACAGAGATTAGACAACCATTGATTTAAATCTGTATGGTCATTTCTCCTAAACCCCAATTATAGATTTTGGATGCCTTTGTTTAATCCTTATTTTCTGGGATATTTTCAGTTATATTTGCCTTGATCCAATATTATTTTTAGTGAGATAATTATCCAATAGCACCTTTAAAACTTGAGGTAACTATTTTTGTTTTTACTAACCATACATGAACTTGAAGTAATTACAATTGTCCCCATGGGATCAGAAGCTAATTAATGGCGGGACTCTCTGTTCCCCCAAAATAATCTGAAGAAGACAGAACTATTTAACTATAACTGCAAAGCGAATACGATTCTCTGTTTATATAAAAAAAGGATGAAATAATTTTATTTTGGACTCCTGATCTGTGAAAGAATGAAACAGTTAATACGCAAATTGATATAAAATCCAAAATGTTATCTCTAAGAATATGGTCCGTGATCAATGATACAGATCTAATTTCACCCACATATATATGCAAATTGCAAAAAGCAATAAATAAATCTTGACCCATATGTTACAAATCTACCAGATCATTATGTACAGAGAGCACTGTGAGTCTTGATCACACATTTCACCAGAAAAGTAAAACAATACAACACCATAAATGTTTCTTCTCCAACCGATTTCAAGAAAGACAATAATAATTACTCAAAGAAGCTTTAAATGTTAAATCTCTTTCGCCGGAGAAAGAAGATTCTGAGCTGAAAATAATGAAGCAAGAAAGATTCAAGAAGAACCTAAACGCCGTCGTATTTTCATTCTTCTTCTTCTTCCTCTGTTCCACGTCGGATTTGCTCCTTCCACGTTCACCGTTAGCTATTCTCACCGGCGGGAGGTGGGATCTTCTGCAGCCGAGTGTAGGTATATCCGCAATGCACATGCAGCTTCTACACAACAACAAAGTCGTCATCTTTGACCGTACGGATTATGGCCCTTCGAATCTTTCTCTCCCTTCTCAAACCTGCCAAAACGGCACCGTTTTCGACTGCTCTGCTCATTCAATACTATACGACGTCGCTTCAAACACCTATCGTCCACTTACACTACGATACGACACGTGGTGCTCCTCCGGTTCTTTAAACGCTTCCGGTTCTCTGATCCAAACCGGCGGTTATGGCGCCGGCGAAAGAACTGTACGGATATTCACACCTTGCGATGAAGGAGTTGGAAGCGTTTCGTGTGATTGGGTTGAGAACAGAGCGTATCTCTCCTCTCGCCGGTGGTATTCCACCAATCAGATTCTTCCCGATGGTCGAATTATCATCGTCGGCGGAAGAAGAGCTTTCACCTACGAGTTTTACCCCAAGAATCCGGGAGAATCCGTTTTCAATCTCAGATTCTTGGCGGAGACGAGAGATCCGAATGAAGAAAACAATCTTTATCCGTTTCTTCATCTTCTCCCCGACGGAAACCTCTTCATCTTCGCTAATCGGAGATCGATTTTGTTCGATTTCGTCAATCATCGAATCATCAAGGAGTTTCCGGTGATTCCCGGCGGCGATAAACGGAATTACCCCAGTACTGGCTCCTCCGTGCTCCTCCCTATTTTTCTCACCGGCGAAAACAACCGATCGAAGATAATGGCTGAGGTTATGGTATGCGGCGGTGCTCCGCCTGGAGCGTTCTTAAAAGCGGCGAGGACGATTCCTAAAATCTTCGTCGGAGCATCTCGCACGTGTGGGAGATTGAAAGTGACCGACCCGAATCCGAAATGGGTTATGGAGCAAATGCCATCGCCACGTGTTATGTCTGATATGTTACTGTTACCAAACGGTGACGTTTTGATCATTAACGGTGCTGCTAACGGAACCGCTGGCTGGGAAGACGCAACAAACGCTGTTCTCAACCCGATTTTATACTTACCCGACGAGCCTGACCCGACCCGAAGATTCGAAATCCTCACCCCGACTCGAATCCCTAGAATGTATCATGCGGCGTCTCTCCTTCTTTCCGACGGTAGAGTCTTAGTCGGAGGAAGCAATCCTCACCGGAATTACAATTTCACGGCGAGGCCGTACCCGACGGAGCTCAGCCTCGAGGCTTATCTCCCGCGTTACCTAGATCCGCAGTACGCGCGCGTGAGGCCGACGATCATCACGGTGGAGCTCGCCGGGAATATGTTGTACGGTCAGGCTTTTGCCGTCACATTCGCGATTCCGGCGTTCGGGATGTTCGACGGAGGAGCGTCAGTGAGGCTAGTGGCGCCGTCGTTTAGCACGCACTCGACGGCGATGAACCAGAGGTTGTTGGTCTTGCGCGTGAGGCGCGTGAGTCAGTTATCTGTTTTCGCGTATAAAGCTGACGTGGATGGGCCTACTAACTCCTACGTGGCACCGCCTGGGTATTATATGATGTTCGTGGTTCACCGTGGAATTCCGAGTGTAGCTGTTTGGGTTAAGATTTAAAGCAATCCTTTGACAACTTGGACTCTGGTTTTGACTTTTTGTTATTTCATGATTTTTATTCTTTTTACATAGATTCATTCGTTTTGGATTTTTTTAAAAGAATTGTAGTAACACATTTTTTTTGGTCAATAAAAAAAGGAAAGTGTCGAAGTTTCCTTTCTTTCAATTCCTAGTCCAACTCGGATAGTGAGATTTATTACGTAAGTTTTCTTTTGTTTTTATAAATTAAATAATCATCGATGGCCTCTTCATCAAATTTGAGTATGGCATCGTTCCCTCACGATGTCGTTGAGCTTATTCTCGAGAAACTTGCCGTGAAATCTCTTCTTAGGTTCAAGTCCGTATCAAAACAATGGAAATCCACAATCGAATCCGATCCGGATACTTCCAAGAAAGACATTTGATCTATTGTCAGCATTCAAGAGATCATCGAAATATCTTTTTGATGAACGCCAATGAAGATTATTATGGTGGTCTAAACATAGAAGCTTTGAGCACGTTGCTTTTCGAATCAAAAATTTCGGTTAAGCTCCCTAGTCCTCTAGAAAAGACATTTGATGTTGTTTGCGCTAGTAGACTAGTAGTTGTGATGGTTTGATATGCTTCACAATCTTTATAAATCGGGTTGTGTAGTCAATCCCACCATGCTAACTAGATGGCATCGAAGTTTTCCTCCACCTACGTACGTATAAACAAGTCACTGTCGACAAATCCTCTAGTGGATATGTTAGTGTCTTTCCATTGCCTTTGCTTGGATTCGGGAAAGAACGGCACGTACAAGACGGTTTGCTTATATAATTCACAAGAATTAGGTCTACAAAACGCTACTACATGTGAAGTTATCGACTTTAGCACCAACGTTTGGAAGTATATTATCTCTTCTTCTCCAAAAATGACATATCTATTATTGTTCGCCTTTACTGATTTATTATTTGCTTCTACATCATACATTGTAATTCATAGATCGATTTTGTATTTCACGAAACTAATAGGCAATTGAATTTGTTGGAAGAAAATGTGCTGTTCTCAGTTGAACTTTTAAACCATTATTTCTGGCCAAGATTAATGCTTCTCCAAACTCACCTGGCACCTCTAGTTTCATTAAAGGTTAATTTTGATCTATTTCAATTAATTCTAAAGGAGAAAACTATTCGACACACAGATATATACTTTGTAAACAAAATATTACAACTCTTAGGTTAGAAGGTTTTTCGAATAAAAGAGATCATAACAGGTAAATAACATTTGTGAGTAATGTGTTTTCTGACAGATTCAAACTTGAGGTATAATCTTCAGAGATCTGAGTATATTTTAAATCAATCATACATAATCCACATCTCGTTAAAATGACACAAAGTTTAATTGACATTTAATCTCTTAAACTCTACAAAGTCAAATCCTCATGACCAAATATATACGCTTGATCAGAGGGTCTGCACATAGCATTTGCAGATCTCAGTACTAATTCGGGCTTGATCGATCAGTCTTTATTAAAGCAATATATATAGGGTTGTTTTGCAGAGATAATGTGATCTAAAAGCTTAGAGTAGGAACAAGAGGGGACCTTATTTTCAGCAACATTAATGGAGTTTTCCTTCACAAAACATAATAAATATGGCTCAGAATATCATATTTCCTAATTTACTGACACAAATAAATGTAACAGTGACGACTCTCCATCCTACACATTAGTCCTTCTTTTTATCTAGACGATTTAGAATTTAAGTGATTAAATACAAGATTGTATTTGTATCGAACATAAAACTTTTCCTTCCATTTTCGAAAGTTGAATTTGCGTTATCAAACTTAATTTTAGTTGAAACAGAAAAACAAAAGATTTGTGTAACATAGTTCTGAAACAAAGATCGAGTAAAATTAATCAAGTTAAAAAAAAAATCATGTTATTGTCTTATTAGATAAAATCTCTAGAGGTTGTTAAGAGCATGTCAAACTGAACCGAAAGAGGTTTGATTTTGTTTTATTTCTATAGTATTTGATAATCAAATTGTTAAACCAAAACGTAAACCGAATAAAAGTCCGAATTAGCATTCTCACAAAAATCGGTAGAAAAAAAAAACGAATGAGTTTGAGATGAACGCATTAAACAATAACAGTATAACACATGCAACGCATGATAATTAATATTCTATACAGAAACCAAAGGAAATTGAAACATGTGAAAAAAAAAAAGTGAATAAAGAACAAAACATTTAAACCACAAATCCTTTTATTTATCAAATGGCATATTACCCGAATTATAGTATACCTAAAAAGTGGAAATACGTGATAAACAAAGAGGGTTAATTAATGTGATCTCGCTTGTGACACCAACTACATATTTACTCAACCTTATACGTCACACACGAGAGGACATGACTTGCAACTTGTTAGTACACTTCACATCTCTGTTGGCAGAAATTATTATTTTATTTTCTTTCTCTAAATTTTGTTATTTTAATATTGTATGTTCAAGATTGAAATGAAGAATGTTTTGGCCTAAAGACACATCATTGTTCTAACTAGATAATACAATTTTTGAGCCAACAGCCAAGGCATGAAGTCATGTAGATGAGCTAGGGAAATACGTATATAGCTAGCTTATCTTGCATGCAGATTTTGTGAGCACAATGATCACGAACTGCGAAAAGTCTAATGATTCAAAATGATATATTACCAAAGTAGCTTTTCTTACATACCGAAAAGAAGAAGAAAAAAAAACGACTGGTCATACATTTATTACAAGAAGTTTAATTAATATATATAACTTCCAAATAAATAAAACACAACAAAGAGCAGAATTATATATGAAATCCATGCCTTTAATCAGATAGCGAATGAGCTTATATATATAAATAAAACCAAACCAGCTAGAAAATAAAATTAAAACCCTAATAGCTAACTTAACGATATAACTACATAATTATCAAAGATCATATAGAAATAACGTTATATCATGGGACGATCTTAGTCATGTCGTTATTACCGGACAGATCAACATTGTTCAGATTGTCGATCTTTTCGTTGTCGTTGTCTTCGAGGTTAATGTTGTTCTTCTTGGAGAAATGGATCTTGTTGTTGTGCATCCAAACCTTAAGGACTCTTCTCTTCACTCCAATCTCTTCGCAAAACCTTTGAACAACACAATCTTCTTGCCTTTGTATTTTCCACCCAACTTTCTCAGCAAAACTCAGCATCTTCTCCTTCTGTTCCGGCGTGAACTTTGTCCTAAACCTCTTCTTCTGGTTGAATGGCAGGTTTGGTAGCGATCTAGATGCGGTGGTTACGCCATCTTCTTCCATAAAGTCCTCGGACTCGGAGTTGTTATGCATGTACCGGTAGTTAGAGACTCCAATTGGCATGATCATTTGGTGTGGCATGGCTGATCTGATCTTGTGGTGGTTGAGCATGAGTTTTCGGTGTGGAGGTGGTTGGTGGTAAGGGGAAATGGCGGTGGCTGCGGGTTCGCCTTCCACTTCTTTTCTATGGAAGTTTCTGTGGCAATTGCAAGCTGAGCAAGTGAGAGCCTCAATGGAGCCATCTTCACCACTTGGCATAAACTCTCCACACCCATCAGTGGCATTGCCTCCCATAGCTGCTGCATGGTTCTTGAGACACTCCTTGTACTTTATCATGGGTTTCTTGATGATGGCGTTGTAACCCACATGATGAGGATCTTGATGATGATGATCATAGTTGTTTCCATGACCATTACCATGTAACGGCATTGGTGGTGGTTGAGTAGTAATGTTGTTGTTGTGAGTTGGAGGAGCAGAATTAGCAGCATGATGATCATGATGATGATGGATCATGTGACCATGACTACCACCACCAAATGTAGTGTTTAATGGGATGGGCATATCATGATCTTCTTGACTTGCAATTTCCATCTTTTTAAATTGGGTCTTCTTCAAAAACCTTTTGCTTTTTCTTTGCAAATTGTTTCTTGGTTTGGGGACAGAGGAGAGACTAGCTAAGAAGAAAACAAGACAATTGGAGAAAAATAATTAGTAACTAAGACCAAAAATGATTAAACTATTATAGGTGAATACTTTCTTGATTAAAATTTTAAGGAGTTTCCACTTTTTTAGAAACAACTCACGGAAAGCATTTTTCAAATAAGTTTACTAAAAAAAACGAAAATCAAAGTTTACAAAACCCAAAATTATAGGACAAAACGGAAGAATACAAAAAAAAAGAAAAGGTAATTAAGGGAAATAAAACTTTTCTTGCAAGCCTGCGCAAACAAAAGCTGACAAACGCACTTCAAAAGAAGTCTTCTACTTCAATTCAAGTGAGAAATTTATTATGATGACCAGTAAATAAAAAGAAAATAAATGGGTCATGAAAACAACTGTTCTTTGATTATCAATCTTCTCTTCTCTCCAACTTTTGATGAAAAATTAAGAAAAGAAAGAGAGAGAAGTCAAGACTGGTTATGAAAGAAAATCGAATCAGGTTGTTGATGAACGAAAGGAATTATGAACACGTACCTTCACAACTAAAAGCAGCAAATTAATTACTTTGATCTTAATATGCTTCAAAAGTTCAGAACTTTGAAGAAGATATAGTCAGCCTCAACCAAATAGAAACCCTTAAGAGAGACAGAGAAGATAAGAGATATTAGGGTTTTGTAATGAAAGACTTTGAAGGAAGAGAGGAGACAAAGATTTGCATTTGTGTTTTGGATGTGAAGGCAGTGTCTTAAACTAAGAGAGTTAGAGTATTAGTAGTGAAAGCCTAAAGCCTAAAAGCAAGAGAGAGAGAGAAAAAAAAAACAACCAAACTAGATATTTTCAACATTTCACTCTCTCCTTCCCTCCCAGTGACAAATAGTAAACAACAGCATTTAATTATGTCAGTTTTGTTAGTATATTTATCTTGATTACACAAATAAATATGGTTTCTTTAAAAGTCTGTTTTAGTGGTAAATGACTATATCATAAGAAATTTAACCTAACTATAATTAAAATGCCGCCCAAAAAAATAAGAAGATCAGAGAAGAGGAGGTCATGGGTGATTGCTTTGCTTGCACTATCAGACATCAAAATTTACACAATTTTTAGAGAGAGAGAATTGTGTCAGGGAGTGGTGGGGGAGTGTAAGCAGTGAAACAAAGCATAAAAGTCATAATAAATAAAATAACTTAACCTCCATAAGTAAACGAAGCTAAAAAAAAAAAGAGAAAAATGTCGTTAAAATCCCCAACTTATTCAAAACGTTGATTTAAATTCTCAACTCATGACGAAACGAAATAAATATCAAATTTATGTTGACTTTCTAAATAAATATTAAACTTATGTTGACTTTCCAAATAAACACCAAACTTTCATTGACTTTCCAAAAAAATATCAAACTTCCGTTGACCTGACCACATTAGGTACGACGTTAAGTGGATTAATAAATCTTCAACTCATGACAAAACGAAATAAATATCAAACTTATGTTGACTTTCCAAATAAATATCAAACTTATGTTGACTTTCCAAATAAATATCAAACTTCCGTTGACCTTGCCATATTAGGTACGATGTTAAGTGGGTTAATAGATCTAGTTAACGGATATAATTTTCTGTTAACATATATCTACTATACATTTTTGCAACACTTTTTGGGGTTCCTAATCGGGTCAAATTTTGTTTAATTTTGACCCGGAAATCTTCAATCGGATCTTTCTTTATTTTTGATAAAACTAAAAAACGAAAATTAATCAATAAAATCTAAAAAATATATATTTTCTCAACTAATTACTATACTTAAACTCTTTATTTATGGCATATTCTCTACAATTTTTATAGATATAGAAATCAAATATGATTATTTAATGCTAATATAACAAATTTGAACTAATTTCCTAAAACCTCTCTACCTAATTAAAACATAAATATATGATTCTCATTTCACTTTTATATGATCTTATATTTATATTATTTTGAACTATTATAAAATATATATACTTAATAAAAAAATTCGATTTTTTTTCTGCATATGCTATGATTCAAATTTTTTAAAACGGACATATATTACTCAATCAATGAAGAAAAAAGTATGTGTACAATCTATATTAACATTTTTGAAAAACAAATTTGCGCGTTTAATCAGGTCGTATTTTTTTTTTTACTCTGACCCGGAATTGAGTCATTCAGATATTTTATTAATTTCTACAATTATCTAAAACTGGACAATATACCACGGTGAAATCTTAAAATTAACAAATCGAAATACAATTATGGGAGACTCACAAAAATGCCCCTTTTTTAATACCCCTTTTCAAAAATGCCCCCTTTGGTTGTCTATTTTTAAAAATACCCTTTTTTTATGTACAAAATGACTAAATTACCCTTCTTTTAATAAAAGATATCACAAATATATAAGGAAATATAACAAAATTAGGTCCACAAAATACAAAATATTTTTTGGCGGGAAAAGTGATCCCGCAATTTTTCCCGCCAAAACACTTGTAAAAACTTGTAAAACCTTTAAAATACCTTGTAAAATTTTCCCGTAAAACTTTTTCCCGCCAAAAAATTTTCCCGCCAAAAAATTTTTTTTGGGAGAAAAGTGATTCCGCAATTTTTTTGGCGTTAAATTTTTGGCGGGAAAATTTTTCCCGCCAAAAAATTACAAGGTATTTTAAAGGTTTTTTACAAGGTATTTATAAGGTTTTACAATGTATTTTAAAAGGTTTTACAACGTATTTACAAGGTATTTATAAGATATTATAAGATTTTACAAGCTATTTTATAAGGTTTTTACAAGTTATAAGGTTTTACAAGTTTTTTATAAGGTTTTACAAGTTATAAATACCTTATAAAACCTTATAAGTACCTTGTAAAACCTTTTAAAATACATTGTAAAACCTTACAAAACACTTGTAAATACTCTGTAAAACCTTTAAAATACCTTGTAAATTTTTCCCGCCAAAAATTTTCCCGTCAAAAAAAAAAATTGCCGAATCACTTTTCCCGCAAAAAAAAATTTTTGGCGGGAAAATTTTTTGGCGGGAAAAATTTTTACGGGAAAATTTTACAAAGTTTTTTAAAGGTTTTTACAAGTGTTTTGGCGGGAAAATTGCGGGATCACTTTTCCCGCCAAAAAATATTTTGTATTTTGTGGACCTAATTTTGTTTCAAATAAGGGTAAAATGGTCATTAAAAACTAAAAGAGGGCAAACTTAAAAATGGACTCTCAAAGGAGGCATTTTTGAAAAGGGATATTGAAAAAGGGGCATTTTTAACAATTTCTCTACAATTATTTAGTATTTTAATATACATTTTTAAAATATTTTTACGGGTTGGTCTAAAAACACACACTAATTTGAAAATATATATATATATATATATATATATATATATATTATAGAAACTATTTGAAAGCAAACTTTTAAATTGACTCGAATTATATGTCTTTTAAATAAAAGTGTTATTAAAAGAAATAACAAAATGATGTTTAATTTTACGGGACATGATTATATGGTGGGACGGGTCGGATTTGGATTGATATTAATACGGGATAATATATCACGGGTGAAATCCTGGGATTAACAAATCAAAATACAATTTTTTTTTTTTGTGTCAAACATCAAAATACAATTATACAATTTTAAACACTAAACAAAACAAATACAACTTAAAATTTTCATTTTTAGTTACAACGCATGTGACTCGCAATGTACAACAAAAAATATTATATACAACAAATTCATCGGTTTATAAAAAAACAAAAAAAATTAAATAATTAACCCGCGGTGTACCGCGGGTAACAATCTAGTATTAATTGATAACGACATTGTTTCATATAACAACAAAACGACGTCGTTTTGTCGTAACGATTGAATTAAATCTCTAAAGTCAATCTTAGATTCCCAAATCGAGCAAAATCCCCAACCTTAAATAGAGTATGATTTGAAACTCGGGATTTTATTGAACAGTTACGGCAAAACAACGTCGTTTTATGTTTAGAATGAATACTTGTTAGTGTTTTGATCAACAAACGAACTCTATTTTAACAGAGTATAGAACAAAACCAAAATAAAAAATAGAGTACAAAGAAACTTCATCTTTATTGATAAGATAAAATGTATTACACACAATGATGTTATTGAGTTTGACTCGATCTACTTATACAATACGAAACAACGTGTACGTACATGTGTTAATCAAAAAGACACAATTTTACGAACAGACACAACTATACGTACGTACATTCGTGACTCTTACGTAAATAACTAACTTATATGAATACGACTTTAGGTTATATGACTTAGATGAGATTTGATTATAGTTCAACAATACTGTCATTTTTAATTAGCGGGTCTGTTAACAGTAAATTAATCCTGTTAACATTGTCTGTTAACTCACTTAATTAACGTCATGCCTAATATGGCCAAGTCAATGAAAGTTTGGTGTTTATTTGGAAAGTCAACATAAGTTTAATATTTATTTGGAAAGTCAACATAAGTTTGATATTTATTTCGTTTCGTCGTAAGTTGAGGATTTAAATCAACGTTTTGAATAAATTGGGGATTTTAATGACATTTTTCTCAAAAAAAAATATTTGTTCTGTATTTTTTTTTTCCCTAGAAATATTTGTTCTGTATTTTGGCAAAGTAATATATATAAAATTTACTTTTGTTCACAAATATATAGATAATTCATACATCGTCTATAACCTGTAAGACTCATGTCATGCATGTGAATTATATTATTAACCAGAAGTTATGGTCCTACAACATTTCGTGTATTTGTCATAAATTTTGTTCTGTATTATATAAAGCCGGAATTAATACTCAATATATTTATTTAATAAATGAAATTCTAACATTATCTTTTTAGTTTATGATAAATGTTTTTTCTTGCATGGATTTCACTTTTCTTATATACATTTTAACTAGAAATTATTTTCTCATATCAGTCATAAAGTAAAAATATTGGATGGTATATATAATACAGTTGTTAATTTTTCTTAAAAATATATAAATAACTCTAAACATACGACGTAAGATCCATCACAAGTCATTCGAGGCCAAGATGAACTATATATATATATATCCTAATTTGTAAAAACGTTTCTGTAATCTCTTATACACTCTGGAGTTTTCAATCATTTATCCAACCACTAGACCAACTAGGCAGCTAAAATTTCACCATACACAAAGTTGCAGTAGTCATATAAAAAAGCAGTGTATTTACAACTGTAATTATAATTATGTACCCTCATAATGTTGGTATTGCATGGAAATTAGGAAGCATGGGCAAAAGGATCGAAAGTTAAGCGTTCATTTGACTAAAAATAGGAAGTAGTGGTAAAATGGAGAATATTGCTTATCATTTCAGACTTACTGCTCTTAGCAGTAGTAATCATGTCATAAGTCATAACCATTACAATTTGAAATTACATTCGTTTAATGAACCATTTTTTTTTTTTTTTTGTTAATTTAACAATGGCGTGGATCACTTTGTTCTTTACTTATCCCCATGGTCTTTATCCTTTACTTCACCAGATCACATATTTGAGATACTTTATCTTTTAATTTGTGTCTTGTTTCTGTTTTGTTGCGTCTTCTTCTGGTAAATTCTTGAAATCCCCATTTTCCATCCATCATATTTTTAATAATGATTTCTAATGTTTAAATAAATCATGGATGACTAATGTTTAAACTCTATATTTTTCATAGTGGATTTTGAGAATCACTCGGTCCGGCATATATATTGGCTGAGGCGTTGAGCTCAAAACTTTGGATACATACCAGAATTATACTGTATTTTTAAATGTATTTAGTCTATTATTATGTTTTTATTCAAGTGACAAAATAAAAAGGGTCCACAAGAATAAATGACGTTAGGTCGATGGTCCAAAATTGTTCACAATTTTCAAGATGTTCGTATTTACTCGTTCTCCTTTTATATTATGACACTTTAATTCGTGTATATATCTAAGTTCTATTTTTTAGGGTTGCGTATATCTCTAAGTTCTATATTTATCGCCTGATTATTTATTTATTTCCTATATATCAAAATAAAACGAGATTCTAAAGTGTATATAAAAAACGATTCTTAATGTATTTTTATGGCCAAAGATCTATTCCTTTAAAAGACGGATGAAATTTTGTATTT